GATAGTAGCTACTTCCGCCTGGAATACACTGCAGAATTCCGGTAGCCTGGATTCGTCTCATATGATGCTCACATCACTCTTTTGTGAGCAAAAAGGGCTTACTTTTGTCTCCGTACACGACTGTTTTTGGACTCATGCGTGCACTGTGCCTGAAATGAATAAAATTTGCCGAGAGCAATTTGTATCTTTACACTCGCAACCTATCATTGAAAATTTGTCTGCATTTATGAGAACTAAATACAGTATCAAAGAATCGTGAGTATTAAAATATTCTACGATGTAATATAACTGGAAATATTCTATTACTTCAGGGATATGGTAAACGATGGCTCAGCTGATTACCTCTTAAAGCGCCGGCTTAATCGAACCTTGGGAGAGATGCCGAAAAAAAGGACACTTTGATTTACGAAATGTATTAAATTCGGTATACTTTTTTTAGTTAAGTTCTAAATCTTATCTTGTCCCCTCGCAATCTGCATTGGATATTAAGAATAATATAAAAGCAATCGGAAAGGGTTTTCTATACTTGCTAAAATAATTTTGTGTTATGAACATTGAATGCATGTGTGATTGCGTTTTTTATCGTAAATATTATATGAACGAAAATGTGCAAGCAAATAAATACTGTAACTCCTTGAGTCTTATGAATTATTGAATTTTAATGTTATATGTACCACTAGTCATTTAGTTTTTGCATAGTGTGTTTTTTTTATTACAATTTTCTTTCCATGATGAAATTAATTGAGACAAAATTCACAAGATTGATAATGATGAATAAAAGTTTTATAACTATTTCATAAAAGTGAAAGGTGCGACAATTGTCGATTTCGGAGTCAGAATTTTTCCTATGAAACAGAAAACTCTTTGGAGCTATTACCGAAAACTTCTGATCCACAAATTTAAAAAATATATACAAAAATGGTACTCATCTAATCATGTAAACTTACAAAAGTTAAAAGTTTACACACAGTGTTAAATAAAAACACCTCATTTAACAAAATATCAAACATTTATTATTCTTTTCAAATAAATTATAGCGCCTATTGTAAAAAATGTTGAATATGTTCGACAAAAATGATATTAAGTGTGGGCTCGAGTCGTAACATCCGTTCACGAATCAAAAACGATACAAAAGATACGTTAGTCGTTTAAGCTGAATGGGACAAATAGTACGTTCACGTATGTCATAATCCGAAAAGTATGTTTTTACGTGACGAGTAATACGATATCGTTTGTGACGATTTGAGCCTTGGTTTCAACATTTTTTCATTTCGGGTCTTGGATATTTACAAGGTCTAGTTTGCCCATCAAAAACATTGTAAAAAACATGTAGTGTGCGTAAATAAGTTTTCATACAATTTTTTATGGACGGTTTACGAGTTTACTAACTTATATAACCTTTTTGGTTGTTGTTGTTTCCGACAGGGTGGGTGTATGACAAACCAAATTTGACAAGGGATGACGGAAATTCGTTCCATAATACAACTTATATAACATTTACTGTTTACGCGAGCACTGCAGCACACATATGTATGTATTTAATTTACTTAATTCTGTAGAGAACTTAATATGAAATTGTATCTGTGGAATTTGTATACCATAAATTTGTATTTTGAATTATATTTCGTGTGCGCACTATGTAAGCATTTCTTAGAAGGAGTTGACAACGCACGTCCTCCTCGCTCATTACAAACTCGATGTGTATCAAATAAATGTATAAAATTAAAAAAATATATATAGAAACACAAAATTTATTTTAATTTATTTGATATCGTTTATACGTTAGTACATTAAGATTTAATATTTTATTGCAGAATAAGAAACATATTGAAGATAAGAACATTAAATATAGGAAAATAAGAAAATATAACAAAGAATTAACAAATTTTATAGTATTTGTACAGATATATTTTTTTTTGGTAAGTGATATGAACTTAAAGATTAACAAATCTTGCTTTAAGTTAAGATGACATCGATTTGTTAATGCATATTTTTACATATTTTTCCTTAGATGCATATATAGGAATATTTTGTAAAAAAAAGCATATTTAATAATTACATTTTTTATTAAACGCCGTTGTCTAGAATGAACGAATCACTCCACAATTGCAAGAGCATTTGATGATTCCATATAACTATTGGGTACTGATTTCGTCGAAAATTATTTTAGTGCCACTGACGCAGCATTTTTTCAAAATTTTCTTTTTGATGCAGAATTTCGTCTAGATGCTCTAAGGGGCATTCCTGCATTAAAAAGAAATTTTTTGAAAAATATGTCGCTTACCTTGTTTTTTGACGGTTACTTGTATGGCACGCAATTCACCGAGTGGCCGAAGATGTAAGAGCTCGCTTCAGTGATGTTGACGATTTCATATCGAACGGGAAAAAATATTTTTTAAATCTGCTGAGTCATTGGCTGAACAAGTGCATCTTGTGGAGACTCCTGTTACTATTATTTAAGGTGTGCAGGGTGAACTTGGGCAAAAAATAAAGGAAAAATTGGATACCATTTTACAAAAAGTAAGGGGTTTAAGGAACTTAACCCTAGAACACACACCCGGGTACAAATGTATCCACTTTCAACTTTGAAGTGTTGTAACTTTTGAACCGCTATACCTCTATACCGCTAACTTCGGATCTAGGAAGATTATTTAGTTTTGAGTTCAAATTCAAAATTTGAACCAGATCGGACCATTGGTTCAGGAGCTACAGCCTTCCAAACACATTATATACGTAAACACACACCCGGGATACGTTTGTACCCCAATAGTAAAAATCCTCATAATAATAAAAAAAAACATTTTTTATATTATTTTTTTATTTGAAAAATTAAAAATATTCATTTCACACATTATACTATTGACTTTTATTATAAAAATTATAAAAATGCATCTTATATCTAAGGAAAATCATGGCAAATAGAGCAATTTGTTGATGTGACCGAATGTTCAAGACACATTGGCTTCTTACATTTGTCGCACAGCTTTCTGGTTTTTCTACGGCGTTTTTCCTCTTGTGCGTAACATAAATAGCAAGATCCGGACACAGGTTTTGGCGTGCGCGCTGCGGCAGATGTTGATGCTGCTGTTGACACCATTGATTCCACCGGTCGGTTGAAATATGCTTCAATAGCAATTTTAGTCGAAAAATTTCGCGTCACTTGACGATTTATGGCTCTGGCTTCAATAATGGGCATACACAATGCTTCAGCCAAGCTGCGCAGGATCTGCTTACGCTTGTTGTTTGTTCTCCAAGGCAACATAGGGTTATTCAAATCGTAGACAATGTAGGCTGCAAGAGCTGTAATGTCCAACATGTTGAAGAACATCGCTGTGGCCATCGTTTTGTTTGTCTTTGTGTTGGATATTCCGCAAACATTTGGTCCATTCGATCAACACCACCTTTGGTACGATTATAATATTCAATTATTTCAGGTTTCCCACTGTCAGCTATTTCAGCATCATTATGCGTGGTCGAAAGCAAAATTACTGCTTTATTTTTTTTGGGAACATAAGAGCACATTGTCACATTATTTTTGAAGCCAAATGTCGTTGAACCAATTGTCCTGTTTTTGTTCTGCTTCATTTCTTGAGGAATATATGATTTGTTTTTGCGCAAAGTTCCAACGATCGTGAGTTTGCAGGTGAGAAGCAGTTCTGCAACTGGCAAGGTCGTAAACAAATTGTCCATTGTAATGTTTCGGCCACTTCCTTGGTATTTGGCAGACAAATCCTTCACCACTCGTTCGCCTTGGTTCGTTTCCCTACCAGTTTCTGCTTGGCCAGTATATATTTGTCCATGCAGTGGATATGCATTTGTGGCATCGCAAATCCACCAAACCTTGATACCATATTTAGCAGGTTTTGACGGTATGTACTGCGTAAACCGTGTGCGTCCACGGTAAGGAAATAATTGTTCATCAATCGTCAAGCATGAGCTGGGCTTTTAATGTGCAGCAAGATTATTGTTCATCATCGTCCACAACTCACTGATCGGTGCTGCTTTATCAGTTAGTAAGCGTGTTGCACGAGTGTTTTTATCGTCAAATCTTAGGAACCGCAATATCGAACAGAAACGGTTGACTCCCATTGTGGCGAGATATAAAGGATAGTTTTTGACGCTCCATAAATCTCGAACATGTTCTCCATTGCTATGGTTCGCACCAGTCATAATAAGTATGCCAAAAAAATGCATACAGCTCTGTTATTGACACAGGCGTCCATGACTTAGGAGTTGTGTTTGGATGCGCATTGTTGTAAGCATTATAAGTTTCTTTTGCTAACTTATTTGTGTGGCGCATAATTATATCAGCCATTTCAACGGTCATGAAACATTTGAATGTTTGCTCTATTGACAACATTTCAGTGCATCTAGCTGGTCCAGAACGTTCTCTTATAATATTTTGTCTGAGTACCTGACGACTTACATTTGGTTCTTTCATCCACTCAGTACCATCACGTGCAACAAATTTTTCGGCACTAGCAGGTAATTCATTATTTTCTTCTACTTCTTCTTCTTCATCATCCTCATAGTCCGCATAATCAGGTAATACTTCTGCGGCACTTTGCGAAACTTCAGCATCGTCATCAGTAATTTCAATGTCATTGATTTGAATTTCTTCTTCATCTTCTGAGTCAAAGTCATAGGGAGCGTCATCGTCACAAATTTCATCAAATAAAGATTGTATATATGATTCTCGCTGTTCCTCAGTTAGCCTGCATAATAAAAAAAATTAGTATATGTTTACATTGTTGCTTATTTTACATTTTTTACCTTCTATATGCTGCACTTGATAAATATTCGTTTCTTCTTGAAGTCATTTCGTATCCAGTTATTTATAGTTTCAGTTATAGTTCAGTTATAGTTTATAGTATATGTTTACATTGTTGCTTATTTTACATTTTTTACCTTCTATATGCTGCACTTGATAAATATTCGTTTCTTCTTGAAGTCATTTCGTATCCAGTTATTTATAGTTTCAGTTATATTTATTTTCACTTCTTACACTTTTGAGCACCAAAACAATAATGAAAATATCAACAGGCAGCATTTATAACAACACCTCGTGTGAAAACAACCCTTGCAGCTGCATATAAAATACAAAAACCAGTTATACCAGTGTATTTGCTACCTACGTACCCATACCTTGCGCGACCTTTTTGCACATATCTTTTGAACCAGGTAGAATATTTCAATGAAATAAAAACCAAAATGTGTATTCGTTGTTACTCTACAAGTATATTATTATAAATTATATTATTTTGTTTTGCATTTATCAGGACAACAACAAAAACAAAAATCCACTGTTGCATGTC